TCACAGGTGCCGCTGAGACGCGCTGCTCCCGAGCCCCGCGGGGACGGGGATGAGGGGGCTCCTCCGGACCGGCCGGGCTCATCGGTGCGTGTGTGTTCCCGCAGTGAAGTACCTGAACGCCTACACCGGGACCGTGCTGCTGCGGTGTCGCAAGGACGCCTACAGACTGCTCTGCTCCGCGCTGCCCTTTGTCAGGCAGCTGGAGAGCCGTGGCCAGGGCTACCCCTGCGCCCTCAACACTCTGCACGTCGGAGGTCAGCTGCTGCCCCGGGCTCTGGTACCTGGGGGGAGGCCGCGGAGCTTGGTTGCTCTTGAGTCTTCATTATATTTAACACAAAACCAGAGCAGCAAATACTGTATTACATGACTTTCTTTAAAAAGATATTTTCAAACTATAGTAACATCCATGTACTGAAAATTAACCACTTGGATCAAAGAATGGGTACTCATTAGAAATTATTCCACCAGTAAACTTAAACAGTGGGGAAATTGAGTCTACAGCCCCTTCTTCACACTTGCATTAATAAAGCTGTTGCTGGGGCATTAGTCACTTGATGCAATCATCTGTATTAGCACCTCTGAAACACTGTTATGTATATGTTACATATTGTTGACTCCTACAGGTACCATAAGAACATGTCAGAAATTCCTCATTCAATATAATAGAAGACAGCTGCTGATGTTGTTGCAAAACTGTACCAATGAAGGTGAGTTTCTCCAGCTGCTTTTCTGAAATGCAGCCTCAGTTCCTGGGGTTTTTATAGGATATGCAGGACTGACTCTGGATTATTGAACTAAGAAACATTCATTTCTTTAGAAGTTGAGGATATTCCAGCATATGTGAAGAGATTAAGCAATGACCCTCTGCTCTCTTTATTGCAGGGGAAAGACAGTGTATACAGAAGTCATGGTTGAGCTGTTCCGTTGCAGAAGAGCAGTCTCTCAGTGGAGATGAGGAAGATGATGATGGCACAGAAACAGACTGACTGTTACTTGTTCTTGTACTTGTGTAATAATGATGTTACCCGTTATCTTCAGTGCTAAGCAAAGCAGAAAAAGGATCTGTTCATATTTAGACTTCATTCCCCCATTCTGAGTGTTCGTAAATAAATTTTCTAAAGAAAAAAAAAATCTGAGTAGGTTACTTTCCCGTTTCACTCCAGGAGACAAAACCACCTGCACTCCTAAGGAGTGGAGCAGCTCAATATGATCTTCATGCTGAGGTAGAAGTGAGCTTTAGGCAGTTGGCATGGATAAGGAATGTAGTAATTTTCCTTCAGTACAGAAAAAGCAGTATCTTTACTGGTTTTTACCTTATCTTCAAGTACACCCATTATCTATACAGCTATCCACTGTTTTGAGTCACAGAAACAATCAGTTTTGTACATGGGAGCAGAGGTCACAAGGAATGCAAGGTAAAGCCGTAAGCCCAACTCCATCTGACTCATTATAAAATTCATAGGTACAAGTACTGCTTAGATATTTATTAAGTTTACACCAATCAGTTACAGGAAAGCAGCATTGCTGGTATTATCTCTTGAATCTGTAGGAAAACAAGATACAACTTGAAGATGCTGTCCTCTGCAGACCGCCCCTGCAGGAGGGACAATCTCCCCAGCTCACATCACTTCCCTTACTTGGTCTAGTGCCTGTGAGATGTGGAGGTGAGTTAACCAGCCCCAGCCATTCTGTCTCTCTTCCCAATGCAAAGAAAAGTTGACTATAAATGTGTAGAGATAATAGAACACAACAGATACTGGTTAGACACCAAGTAAGTTACTCCTGTTCCATGGCTTAAAATGACTATTACAAATAGGAAATAATAGTACTGTGAACACAGTTAATACTTGAATCAATCTTTCTTAACTGCTTTCTCTATCCTCACCAGTAATATTCCAATGTGCACGTAAGGCATTAACAGCAAGATGTGTTACCACTTTCAGGCATCTTGCCTTAGTTTCTTTGCACTCTTTTGACAAGCTGTACTATCTTTCCATCAAGTGTAGATAATTGCGACCAAGCGTGAAGTCAAGCTGCTTTCAAAGAATGTTTTGCAAGTGTTTCCTCTAGCTTCCTGTAGCAGTTGAATTATTCTCTACCTCCTCCTTCTCCCCCTTCTTTCTGGTTTACAGCCACATACAAAGTTTAGTGAAGCATATCCTTTCATACTAGCTTCCCATGCACGCATACTTAACGTGCCTCAAGGAAGCAGTTGTATAACATGGAGGAGTTTAGTGAAGCATACCCTTTCATACTAGCTTCCCATGGACACAAAGTGCCTCAAGGAAGCAGTTGTATAACATGGAGCATATTGCTTTGAAATCAAGCATCAATGTATTGACATAAACCTTTTAAATAGGGACACAACCAATGAATTTACTGGTGGTGTACGAATACCAGACTCCAGGAGTCTCAAACACTTCCTTGCTCAGATCAGTTACAGTGCCAGAGTCACACCAACTTTTTAAAGCCTGTGCAAATGCATTGGTCCAAGTGGGGCTGAAACAAAGAGAAGTCTCTGGTCAGTCTTCCACTGTACATGAGGTGGGACATCACACCAGCTCCTGGCATTAATTCCATCAGTAGGAAGGGTAAGATTTGGATCTGTGCAACTAAGCCATGTTGTGCTCCACAATGATATGACAGTTCAGTTACAACTCAGGAAGGGTGCAGGACTTGTAGTGTGTGCGTGTATGATTTATTGTAACTCTTGGCCTCGACTGGTACATTACACCTACAGTTCATTTTTATTCAACAAAAATCCACACCACTTAACTCATTAGCTCAAATCAAACCACAAGCAGTGTAGAATGTGACCACCCAAAGAAAGAGCAGGGAGGGGTCCGGAAGAGGCACGTTTATATTCTGAGGTGCTTAGTGCAGTTGACTTACATTCCAGAACCAAGTAGATACAGGCTCTTATCCCAGTACAAGAGACTCCAGTTTCTTGCTGGGGGATAAGTTATCTACAGACTCCAGCTATCAGTTGTTCTTCCAATTCAAGAGCAGCCAGTGTCAAAATGTCACTCAAGTAGTTTACCAAGAGCCCTAGGGTGGAGTGTTTATTCTAGATGATCAGGTTACAAAGAATGTGTAGCCCGTGGTTGGCAAAAAAAAATAAAATTAAAAATTAGCAGCCTCATTCACCCACATTAAAACAGTCGAACAACTGAGAGAAGCCAGGAGGTTCCTTCTACTACTACTGCCAGTCCATGTTTTGAAATACACAAGTTCATCAAGAGTCACTTCAAAACCAAGTAGCCAAGTTCTGCTTTACGCTCACCTCAACTTTAAATCTTTCCAAGCCAGGAGAACAGGAGGAATTCTTGCTCTTTAGAGAAAGAACAGATAAAGCAGCTAACACTCTAAAGCCAGGAAGCTCTTTTGCCCATTTCCAGTGCAGCGGAAACCAGGTTATGTTGCAGTATTCTGGCAGTGCCACACAACTCTAAGGACTTTCATACGGCTTATTAGGCCAAAAGAACCAACTTAGCACAGACTAGAAGCCTCAGCTGATTTGTCTCTGGGTTGTTTCTTTCAAAACTTTGTTGCAGTATAAACTGATTAAGCAGCTGGAATCAAAACATCTTGCTTCAACATACACGGTCACGGTTTCCTCCTGAACCCTCTAGAAGCCCTGGAAACACAATTTTAGTCTCAAATTTAAATACTTAAAACTATAGCAGCAAAACAAAGCAAAATGAAAAGAAAACCAGGAGAGGAAACTTCTCTTGAATAGCAGAATCACTTTGTGTGAACAACAGAGGTGCTGAACAGTAGCTTCTGCTTCTGTTTCTTTCTTTTCTTGCCTCCCTTTTCCTCTGTGAAGGATTAAAATGATACTGTCATTCTTCTCATGGAACAGGAATATCACACAGAAATAAGCGGTCTTTCCTAGCTTAAATGACTTCTACAGGTCCTAACAACTTCCTAACAACTCACTGAGCACCAAGTAGTTTAAATTTTAACAAAAAAAATTACTGCAGACAAACTAGAGGAGACTCCATCACACCTAAAACATACACACACCTAACCAATTCTAAAGTTGCTGCTGCAAGAGTAACAACTAGGACTGCAAGTGTGCAGCAGTTTGCCTTTCAGACAGGTATTGCTTTCATCCATGTCCAAAAACCACTACAAGTGAAGCCAATACTCATTTTTCACTGAAACTCCCAGCCCCTCCCCCCATCCAACCCTCCACCACTCAGTGCAGCCTCCAAACAGAAGCCAAGTCTAAACATCAGAACTGAGCATTATAAATTAGTTTTATCAGCCAGCATCAGGCTTAGAGGTTTAAGTTCATCTCTGTTTTAGAGTCCCTAATTTGAAATCCCAGCTAGCAGTTACCTTCACATTTTGGTCAAACTTAAGCGATAGTTCAGCAGCTTAGGTATTTTTAGTTTAAAAGTGCGTAACCTGAGCTTCCTTGAGATAAAGCTTAAGTTAAGTTCCAGTAGAGAGATGGCAAACATGATTTGGTCAACAGCCATCTTTGTCCTAACAGGATTCTTTGCTAGTTGCAGAGCTCTCAGGTCTCACCAAGAGAGCCTCTTTAAGCTAACAGAAGCCCTCATCAAGCTGTTCAGAAACCACAACCTGACAATACTCAGAACTCTTCTATGGACAATGTTTGGTTCCCAAAATTGCTGCTTTCACTTCTCCCAGAGGAAGAAGGGAAAATATTTCCCCCCCTCCCCTTCAGAAATGTTCCCCCCTGCCTTTTACCTGATAAATGATCAGCTGTGGATGGTTTGTCTAGTTTCAGGAGGGCTGCCTCAATAGCTTGGCTGAAGGAATTCTGGAAGCTGGGCACAGGTATGCGGTCAGAGCTGTCACTTTCTCCATCACTATCTGCTGGCACAGGGAGTGCCAGAGTGTTCTCATCTGCAAGAAGGCAAGTGCCTTGAGAGGCAGAAGGCTGCATAAAACTTTCACAATGCAAACATCCCTCCACACTCCAGATGTTTCTTGTAAAGTCAGAAGATTTCTTAGATTTAAATGCACAGGAAAGAACCTGAAGTAGCAATACCAAGTTTTCTTACCTCTTGTCTTTGGAGCAGGTTTGGGCCACGTTTCTGGTTTTGCCTTTCCAACTCTCAACATCTATCACAAAAAGTTGTAAGATATGATTAAATCCCATGTACTTATACAGTCCTGCACATCCCCTAAGTGGCAGGAAAATCCAAGAACCCCTTCAAGCACTCAACCCTAGGTTGTCTCCACAAGATTTATCCCACATTGTTTTTCTGGGGAAAGCAACTGTGTTCTCAGACTAATCCCCAAGTAAGTCCCAAGTGAATCTGATACGATTTACTCTGCCTACGTGGCTTACCTGGGCAAAGGAAGGGAAGGGAGATTCTTCTTCTAAACTCCCACAGAGCATCGGGTTGACCTGGCTGGCAGCAGGTGACAGCGGAGTTGGAACAGACTCTGTTACAGAGAAAGCAGCAGATAATTAAAGCCAGTTGCACTTGGCAAAGGCACTCATTATGCTGCTTATCAGGATGAAACAGAAATAAAACTTTATTATCTTTTGTAATTAACCATTTTCATCTCATCAGTTCCATCCATTGGTCACACCCACCGGGACCTCTTAAACGTCCTCAATCACATTATTTAAGGGAGATTTAATTCTTTTGGACTGCTTGGGGGGTTTTGTTTGCTTATTTTGGAATGTTGTGTTTTGTTGGGGTTTTTTGGCGTTTGTTTTCGGGTTGGGGTTTCGTGTTTGTTTGTTTATGTGGAGTTTTTCTGAGAAAAGCATTTAAGAACAGATTCTATTTAATATTTTTTATGAATTGCAAGATAAATCATTTGGTAAAGCATAACCAGACAATAACCTAACTGAATGCTCAGCAACTGTGTTTTAAACTTAGTATAATGTGGTGGGAAAGATGGAGAGGGTAGAAAGAAAAAAATGCCAGTAGTGTTTTTCTGGCATATGCTCTCTTCTTCCCTTTTTGGGGACTTTTTTTCCTTTCCTTTTCTTCTGCCTCAGCAAAGATTTTAAAAGATGGGGTAACTACAGTGCAGATCTTATATTGTCGCTGAAGCGCAAGTAGTAAAAAGCAGAGCAAGGACCAGAATGTTCTTAGCCATGTCAGCCTTTTGTGTATGATCTCACAGGCAATCTAGGAAAGAAGCAGGCTTTGATCTATCTTAAGGAAGTTTAGGGTGATGACCCGAGCAGTAGATCCCAAAAGAACGATCACGAGCTAATGTGATGTGGTTTTTCCAAATGCTCACCTGTCTGAAACACAGGGCTTCTGCCAAGAGGAGACAGACAGAAGCTCTGATGATCAATGCTGGTAGTTTCTCCAGGGCAAGAGGTAAAAGCAGGGAACTGCTGCAGATTCTCTAAAGCAATATGGACCTCTGGATCTAGAAAGAGGTTTTAAATTAAAGCACTACACAATGTGTGGGAAGACTGTCAATATGCAAGTTGTTTCAGGAGTCTAGGAGGTGCCAACTCAATTTTCTTTCCACCCTCTATTTTAGAGACCAGTACAGCCCTACTGCTGGATGGAAGCAGTTCCGAGGCCTTTTTTTTTTTCCTTCTTCACTTTTCACTCTACACCGTGATTACTATAAAAACAGAAATCAAGAATCCTAAGAGCAATATACCCACATGACAGCTGTGCCCTCAAATGCCCCCATCTCTCCCATAATGTGCAAGTATGCAGGAATTGCATAACATCACTTAACTTCCTAACCAAAACCGCCGATATTTTTCACTCTACATACACTGTTTCTAATACCTTGTAATCTTCTTCTAAGTGCACACTACAAACTACGGGCCTTAGAGTTCATCCTATAGCTCAGGAAATCTGCTCAGCAACTAAAGATGACTGGAAATCCACCAGTTACTCTCAATCACGACTTACATTTGCCCTGTTTCTTGTTTTCTTCTATCTCAATTCTGCGTTCACGTCGTCGTTCATCACGAGCCTTCTTCTGCCGCAGACGTCTCCTCTTTTCAAGGTCATCTAGGAGCAATGCACAGCATTGGATATAAAAAAAAACCAACCCACACCAATACTTTGGAAATGTTTTCTCCAGCTTTGAGAACAACATACTCCATTATAACACATTAATAATGGAATGTGCTTAAAAACAACAAATGCTCTTCCAGTCAGGCTTTTTTATTCTTTCTGTAATTGTTGTCTATAAAACAGTGAATTTGGTTTGTTCTGTGCAGTAATCAGACAGTTGGTGCAAGAGGAATAAAGCTGTTAAGTATGTTCTTTTTTCTGACATTAAGGGATAAGAACTACTTCCCCCTCACCCTCATGGATACACGACAGAGCTAGTACCAACCTGAAAACAACTCTAAAGTCTCCTTAGAGATGACAGGTGGCTTCAGAGCCAGTTCACAAATGCTGAACTCACAGGTGAGGGGCAAGTGACAGAGGTAACGATGACGTTGTCTTATATCCTGAATGAATAAATAAATAAATAGATGAGAGTAAATGTATTACCGGAACAAGGTCTGCCATAGTGATGAATAGCTTATACAGACAGAACGCCAACCATTCATCAAATCAAATGGAAAAAAAAAATAGCAGCAGTGACACAATAGTCACTTTGTAAACTACAAACACATGCAGGATGCCCTGGGTCAGAACCAATGCTCCAAGATCTCCACCAACTACACTGTAAGCAGATCTGGATGGTTACTCCAGTTTTCTTGTTATTCTTCCCTTCTTACTCACGTCACTGGAATAAAATTCTACAATATCAGTCCTCTGATGCATTTATTTTTGCACTGGACTGAATTTGCCTTTTACATCTAAATTATTTGGACCAATGACCACTTTACTCGGCTTGTTTCAGTCCAGTTTTGTATTTTTCCCTCACTGAGCCAGAAAACTTGAAGACAATTCCCTGCTACCCTTGCACCCATTCTTACTTGAGCATATCCTTTCTAACAGACAAATTAAGAATTATGTATAGTTGTTACTGCATGTGCCAGTTCTTACAGCGGTCTTTATCTGAGGTAAAGGAATTCGGGAGCCATCCCCTCTTCCAGAACTTCAGTGCCTCAAGCACTTGCACTCCCTTTATCTCAAAGACTGAAGTTTCTTTCCATCTGTATTTTCACAATATCCCACCTCTACCCTTGATGCTCAGAAACAACTGTTTGTTCAAGACAGAGGCAGAACACTTCTTCAGCCTGAGAAAGATGGTAATCTGTCTCGTTCAAGCTACTGTCTTGTATGAGAAAATCACTTACTTTTTCAAGACAGCTTTAACAACAAACCAATCTTAAGCTTGCAATTCTCTCACTCCTAGAACTTCCTGCCTTCTAGAAAAACAAAAGAAAAAAAGCAAGCTAGACTGCAGCCTACTTACCAAAAGCAACTCTAGGTACTGCACCTTGCATAAGTCTTACACAGATGCCCTTCAAAGATTAGCATGCCTACCCATTCGTAGTTATCATTTCTTATTACTAACAAGAAACAAGTCTCACCTGTCAGCCACAGTGATCAATCTACTAAAACAAGAGCCCTTAATTAATAAGAGGATAAAATAACTACCTCTGTCATTGAGTAGCCAGTTATCTCCACTACAGCTGCAGTTATCTTCTCTGGACTCTTCTCCAAGCTGCCGTATTCACGAACGAGACATCGAACATTCACAGGGTGAAGATACATACACTGTCCATCCTCCGCTGTAAGATAAGATATCATCACTTATTCTTAGCCTGTTAATTTTCAGTACCCTTCTCCCCACCTCAGTACATTCTCCAGTAATAAAATTAAAGCTCCTTTCCAAGTTTCTGTGGGAGTTTTGTTTCACAGGGTTTAGCTGCATCTAGTGAAGTGACGAACATCCCAAAGGAGGCATCTCTGCCCCGCTGATTCCAGGATTTCATTGCACTGACCTTGATAGAAATAGTAAAAAGGAGAGTTGCTAAGATGTCCACTGCTAATTGTCTCTTTAGATTCTTGGTAGCTTGTTTCAGTTGGATTTGGTTCTTCTGTAGTGTTCATATCAGGTTCCCCTATGGTGTCCACCTCAAGTACTTCCTCTTCATCCAGCACTGCCTCTTCTGCTTCCACAGGAGGCGAAAAGGAACTTGCCAGATCTGAGCAAGGCTCCACAAGCTCCTCATCAAATGCAGAGAGATATTCCACACCACACTATCACAGCAGAGAGCTTAGAGTTAGTACTACATCACCTCCTTCAAAAGATTATCATCTCTGAAAAAATCTTTGGCACCACTTCACCGTACACTGCAGTGTAAAGCTGCAGAATTAAGTACTAACAAGAGCTGCCAGAGCAGAGTTGTCACCCACCTTTTTCTCTTGGGAAACTGCAGGCTCCGCAGCCTTGGAGCTTTCTAGGACCAATTCTTCCACAGCTGCACTGATTCCAGCAACACCATTGTTTTTATCCTGGTTAACAGAGAGTGCTGTTTCTCGCTCCTGCAGGTCATCCGAAGAGAACAAGTTTTAATTTCCTATTTAAGCCAAGAGACTACCACCATAGTTATTTTTAGCCTTGTCCTCTGCTTCAGGTTTTCATAGATCCATAATTCATCTGTGACAAAGAGTGATGCTTGAAGTCCTCTTGTTATTATTACTGGAAAGCACACCCGTTGTAGGACGCCTAAAGGCTTCGAAAAGGAGCAGTCTACAAGTTTGCTTCTATTGGGCAAACATGAACAAAGGGAAACACATCTTCCTTTGAAGGCAAAACTCCTTTACATTTATGGAAGGAATACCATTTAGTAAAATGCATTCTGTTCTATCTCGAACATCATGCCAAATGCCTGAGGTCCAAAGGCTACAGTCTTCTCCAAGATACATAATGCTATTCTAGCAGCAATCACCACCACCTTGCTAGTATACACATCACAGAGACCAGAATAATCACACACAATCACCTATGCAGCAGAACATAGATGCTTAGCACCCAGCATACTGTTAAAAATAATGTTACTAAAAACCTTCAAAGAGGTTCTCACCTTCAGTTCCTGGATAGCTGCCTCAATAAAGCAAGCCTCTGGGGTGTGTTTTTCTTCCTCGTATTGTTTTAGCAATGCCGCTTTTTCCTCCAGAATCACCAGCTGCAAGACCTGCTCCCTGGATGCCAAAAGCAGCTTTGAATACTGACTGTGCTGGTCATCTGAAAAGCAGCACCAAATCATTAACATCCACACACAGAGGCACCAGTTAGAACTGCTGCTGCTTCTGAAGTTTTGTTACTGCTCAATTTTGGGAGTTAATCCACTCCAAGGCAGACAATATTTAGCAAGGGCTTGATACATACTCCACGTATTACCATGAGATCAATGCTGACACAAGTTGGTGCCACATACCTGCCCTGCTACACGCACCTCTCCCACACAGCAGTTTATCTCCCACTCCACCATTTACTTGCTGCATGTTAAAAAAACAAATCAAGTTCAAACTTTCCTGTGAAAGCACCACCCTTGAGAAGCCTTGGGTGGTCAAGCCTTCCTGAAACAGCGCAGTCTGCAGCTTCCTCCTCTCTCCCACTTCACCACTTACTTGCTACACGTTAAAAAAAAATCAAGTTCAAACTTTCCTGTGGAAGCACCACCCTTGAGAAGCCTTGGGTGGTCAAGCCTTCCTGAAACAGCGCAGTCTGCAGCTTCCTCCTCCTCTATATACTCAACAAACACTGCAACTGGGAAGCTCTGCAGAAGGGATGTCTGTTTTGTCTCAAACTAGTTCAAAATCCATACAAAACATGATGATGATGTTTTTACCAGAAGCACAGCTGAAATAGTAAACTAAAGGATTCCAAGTTTAGCAAAACATAGTCGTCTTTGTTACTGGAGAGTTTATCTCAACGACAAACTTTACAGCAACCATAGCATCACACACTAGTGCAGTCCATATACCCACTGCTCCCCCAGGGTCCAACCTCATCTGCAGAGCACCAAGTTAATGCTGAATATCCTGGGTTTAGAATGATCTCAAATCTCATTATTTGTTCCTCCATCTGTTTTACAAAAAGGATTTGAAGTTCTTTACTTTCAAATACTGAGGAACGTGTAAGCACGCACCCTGCATGCTGGATACCCATCATGCGTTAGGAGGCTTGACTTTTTACAGAGAGCTTAAATGCATGCAGCCTTTCACAAATGTGACTGCAAAACGAAGGGAGCCAAGACAGCCCACAAAACAGCAAAGTAAAATTATTTCTTTAGTCACAAAATTTTCATGATACTAACAGATAAGATGATGATGTGTTAGTCACATTACTTGACTAGAGAGAACTGCAGAAGTCAGGCAACAGATGTTTGGAATAGGTTTGCAGTAACTTTGATTATTTTCCCATATCATTCACGGATTTTAGTAGATAAGTGAAGATGATGAAAACCTCGTTGAAGATTACATCCTTGAAATAGTTTAGACACAGAGGCAGTTATTTTTGCTAACCTATATAACAAGGAGCTAGGAGGAAAAAAGTTAAGGACACTGAAAAGGCAACAAAGGCAGCAAGAGTCACAGTAAGAACTGTACAATACAAAACACACATCAAATTAATACCAAAGATTGAGAAGGCAGGAGTCTGCAGTGCAGTAAATCGAAGGGAAACAGTACACAAGTTAAAGCCTGACAAAAACCAGAGAGTGGGTAGAAAGGTTATTATTAAGATGTGGTCATTAAGGTTTTCAGCTGCTAAAACCCACGTTTTGTAGTCTGGTCTATTTTAAGGTGACAGCATGGCATTGCCATGGTAAATCCTCTCTACACAAGTCTTAATCACAGTTAGGAGAAGAATGCCCACCACCAGTACTCAGATACACTCACCTTTGATGTAAACAGGCTGCACCACATTCATCCACTGAGATTTGGGTAGTGCAATCAGAACACCTTTCTCCCTTCTCATGAGTTGCATCGTAATGACATCACCAATTGCATACTGACGTGTCTCCATTGCAACAACACTGCAAGGTGAGGAGGAGGTTAGCAGGGCAAAAATAACATTTCAAAAAGATACGCCAGTGAAAAAATATCAAGTCTTACCTCTTGAGGTCCTTCTTGTGAACAGCACCATAACAAATAGGGCATTTACTCCAGGTCTTTTCGCTCAAGGAGAGATAGTGAAGGATGCACGCCCAACAAAAGATATGCCCACAGCGGGTGATCTTTGCTGCAGTAGGTGGGTACAGACAAATTGGGCAAGAGGGCACTTCATGGCTACAGATTCGCTGAAATGGCACATGAGAAGAACAGTACAAGTTTTAGACTTGGAAATCAGTTCCTGTGTTACAGAATAAGCCACCTGTAAGATCTACTCTAACATATTAATCTTACAACTCTGCTTATTTACCAATAAATTAAGTACACTGTGAACCAAGTAACAGCTTCAGAGCGCACATGGAATAACCTTCAAAGCCACCCATTTAGTATTTCTACTCTAATTACATAAAAAAGTGACTCTTCTCATGTTTCCCCTCACGTTTTCATCATCTCCAAGAGCTACCAGCATCTTCATCACCCAAATTCAGATACTGAGAAGACAGCAAACGAGCTGACGCCTCACTTACACAAGCTGACTTGTGCAGTCCCGTTTAGCTGTGAGACTGAACTTACCTATTTCCATGAACATGCTACTTTAGTCAGACACTTTGTTAGCATCTGTATGCTGCAGAGACATAACTGCCAAGCAAGCGCTTAGATTTCTCAGCTCTTCCGTAGCGTCAGGTAACAGTAAGCCAACCTCCTCTCCAGCTATGCCATACACCAAGACTAGTCTTGGCAGACAAGTTCCTACTTGAGGCAACCCAAAGTTCTGACCACAGTTCTCAAGAGATTTTCCATTTTGTTGCTAGGCAAGATGGGCCACCTATGCACAGAATAATTCTTCAAAATTCTACACTGTAGTCCTCTTCCATGGACTCATGCCCAAGTTTTCTGTTAATATCTCGATCACAAGGACTCTGTCTACAGAATGTCAGATACTATTTTTGATGAGCTCCCATCTGCGAAAGCAAGAAGAAGCTGCTAATTTTCCTAATAGATTTTAGCACTTCTCTTTTCCTGTCATGAAAGTATTTCATAATATATTCCATGACAGATCTTTCCCAGTATTGTGGGAGTGACAGAAGAGGCCTCAACTCAAAAACAGCTGAGTTTTACGTAACATCACAGAGATAAAGAGGCAGTTAAAGACAGGTTGAGCTTCTTAGGAAAGAAAAAAAAAAGTCTAGCCCATCAAAACTGACCACTTGCTCCACAAAGTCCCAGTTGACCAAGGTATCTGGATCAGCAAAGTGGACTGTGTAGTCCTGTTCTTCAGAGACAACAAACTGGCAGCTGGGGAGAGGCAAAGAGACAGATGATCCACTCAGTTGTTTCTAAAAATTCTTTGAGAACTATCCTACAGGATTCTCTGAGCTGAAACTATCCTACAGGATTCTCTGCGGGACACAGTACCTTCTACCAATAAAACCCAAAAGAGTTCAATTCACAACCAGATCTCCAGAATACAGGTGTGTCCAATTTCTGTTAGACACAACATCACATACTAACTACAGAATGAGCCAGGCAGAGTGATTTTCCAGAAACTCGTAAGTAGCCGCCAGCTCCATCAGAGATCTATTAAAAAACAGGGATTCACAAGTGGAAAAAATATGCTCACAAAAACTAGAGTTACTGGGACTCCTGCAAAAAGACTTCACTACAATAAGGCACAAAACAGTGGGGAAAAAAATCAGAAGCATCAATGCTGAAAACACTTTTCATTATCTTTAACATGATCAGATACAGGAAGTCCTGAACATGCTTCAAATTCCAGTGAAAGGGACCATTATTTCCACTCAAAAGCAATTCTGCTGCTGGATTATGATACTGATCATCATTTGGGTTAGACCTAGGGGCCTGTGAAACTACCAGCTGTTTAAGAGCTAAAATCCATACAAGTAACTACTTCTAGGACTTATAAATTCAAGGGGCTTTGATCCAGCAACTGCTACCCCTACTATCTCAGCATACTATTTTTTTCCCAAAAAAATAGTATCTTCCATAAGGGAACTATGGAAGTTCTTCCCAAATGGAGTGTCATATTGCACAAGTGATGGTAGAAAATCAGAGCAGAAGACTAATTGGTTTGTATCTGATACCTTGTAAATAGGCAAAGACAACAACTTCATATATTTTTATCCCTTCCAAGTACAGCCATTACCACTAGAAACACTACGGAGCGGTAAGTTCACCCTAGACAAGTCAATACAAGTAGTCAAACACAATGTCATATTCCACAAGTGATGGTAGAAAATCAGAGCAGACTAATTGGTTTGTATCTGATACCTTGTAAATAGGCAAAGACAACAACTTCATATATTTTTATCCCTTCCAAGTACAGCCATTACCACTAGAAACACTACGGAGAGGTAAGTTCACCCTAGACAAGTCAATACAAGTAGTCAAACACAATTCCCTGGCTGATCGTTCCTTACAACTCAACGTCTCTGTAGAAGTCTCAGAGCCCTGCTAGTTTTCCACTCACTTGGCCTGTAGAAAGAGCTCCTTGTTGAATGGCTTATGACCCCACTTGTTCCTTTTCCCCCAGTTGCCATGTCCATTCCCATCAAAATGGCCTGCTTGGCCACGGGGCTCAAAAGTGAAGTTCAGTAAGTGGTTCAGGTTAATCTTCTTGGGACCAGAGAATTGGGCAGGGCTGAACTCTGCCCGTCGAGCCTCTGCTACCTAAGAGAAAACAGCGTTTGTCAGAAATTGCTAGGATTTACTGCAAAAGCACCAGTACCAGTCGATACCCAGGCCCCATCAGTGATTACGTACAGAACACGCAGCATCTACTCACTCACCTGCTTCCACTCCAGGTCTGCAAATCAAGCAGTGCAGCGTTAGAAGTGTATGAGAACCTGAAAGTTAGAACTAAGTGGTCTTATCCTACACTGATCAAAAGGAGGAGAGCATAAAAGCAACCCACATAAGGACATGTAAAAGCTGGTAAAACCTAGCAGTCAAAATTAATAACAGAAGGAAGTTGTTTGAATCCTGACAATATTAGTTTAGATGGCCAGTAATACAAGTCTGATTAGTATTTGCACAGGTCGTACTTGTTTTGGTTAGTTTTTATACAGTGAAGCAAACAATGAGAATTCAACAGAGACAGAGCAGGTGAGTTTTGACAGAGTAAGCAGTTTAGGTGAACAGTGTTGCTTATCCACTAAAACTGAAAAATCAGAGCCCTCTCTGTCAATGCAAACCCACAAGAGCCTACAGTATTTAGACTGACATCAGCATAAAAACCTCAGCCCAGTTTTACTCCATCGTGATGTCACCAAGGTTAATACGATCACTTTCTCATTAGCACTATCACATGCGAATTTGTACACCGAGGTGGTCAGACCCCATCACCTCAGACTTCAAAGCTAGAAATTGTACCACTAGCTATTGTCATGAAAGACCTCTGTTTCACAAGATATGCAAGTGGCCTGTCTAGGTACCCATTCCTCAGACGGTATTTTGTACTGCAAGTCTCTCAGAGCAGAGAGCACTCCTCTTCTGTTGTTGCAAAGTTGTTCTGCTCACACTCGCTCTGGCATCTCAGCGATGTTGGCACCTCTTACCGCTCTCTCCCTTCCCAGCCCAGGAGCTGAAATCAGAAGACCTATCTAGGCAGGTCAGAGCGATCCTCTCATCCCAAGAAAGAAGGCCTTGGAGGCACGGCATTACAATTCTCACCTCATCTCGTCTTCCACCATTACAAGAGCTAAAAAGTTTGCCACTTCCGCCGCTACCTCCCCTTTGAGGGGGTGTCTTGTTAAAAGCTTTGCTTTTCTGTGAATTGGAGCGACGGGACTGACTGGAAAAGTTCTCATTTTTTGAATATGAAGTTTCTCTTTTACGATTATAACGCTGTTTGGATCCACTCGCATTCTTTCCATCTGAAAGAAAAAAAACCAACACCGAGAATCAGATGAGCAGCCTCAGAGTTGTCCACAAGTACTGAACCTCAGCCAGCATCGCCTCAGAGACAGCACCGTGCTCACCTGGGCCACTGCCCTGGTTAAAAGACTGGTGTTTATTGGGACACCAAATTCCCCCAGCAACCCAAACAGTTTCATGCCTATTGCTGTCCAAAGAACTCATCAAAGAGTATAAAGGTAAGATATATTTGCTATGCTTTACCTTTTATGACAATGGATGAATTTTCTTTATCCAGATTTGGAATTGCTGTCACCAGACATTGCCTGGTACTTTAAGTGATAAAAGCTGACAACTAGTTCATTTTTCGTTCCACTTTCAGAAAACACACAATTGATTGTATACTGTTCCCTTATATAAATCTACTGCTGCCTGCCTTCGTCTCGAGGTTTCCCACTCTGCAAAACCCCATTGCTTGTTTTCACTCCGTTCTGCTTCTTGTATTTAAAAGACCCCAACAGATGTGAAAGAAAAGGGTATTTTTAGATCAGAATTACAAGGCCAACAAATGCTTATTGACCTTGAAGCACGAACCCAATGCTTTGGCCTTGCAGGGCACATAGCCAGTATTGAAGTACTAAGTCCACCAACCTGTGCAACAAGAACTGTTTGCCCAAAAGCACGCTGAGCGCACCACTGACCCTAACACTGGATACTGCAGTGAAAGTGCAAAGCAAAATACTGCAGGAACAAAGCTGACAAGAGTAGAAAAATCAGTCAGGCTCAAGAGGGGTTTCCTGTGTCTAAACAGCTGCTTCATTACACTGCTGGAACAGAAAATTAATACTATGATAGTCTTGCCCCTGTGGACACAACAGGCCACTTACCTGTGACTTAACCTAGCACTTCACCAACTGCCCTAAGTTGTTTGTAGAAGAGTTATGCTGATAAGCTTGGAAGCAGAACTTCACTGATCCAGCAAGACATCTGGCCACGCCAGCCAGCCCCGAACTCTGGATACCCAGTAAGCATTACACAAACAGTAACACCTCATACAACAATCAGATCCATTTTATAAAAGCCTATTAGCTTCCCTTTCCCCACTTTGCATTCCTCCCCACCCCTTAATATATCTCTGAAGTGGCAGGCAAACATGCCACTGTGATTCCGGATCGCGTTACTGGTATCAAGAGCTTTCATTTCCAGTGCCCTCCAGTCTTCCCCTTCCCTGGCACCACTTCAATTTATCTGGACATTTTAAACAGCTGGAATGGGATCATTCACACAAAGTCTCGCTTTTTGGTTATTTTTAGTTTTCTCTCCCTCCTGCACTCCCCAAAAAGAGGGGGACAGTGGACCGGAAGGTCTGTGTGTTATTGTACATTACTGAGGATCTGCCTTCTTAAGGATACGTTAAGTAATAAAAGTGGTTTGACTGGGTTTTGTGGTTCTCTGCTGTTTCTTGCACAAGGCAGATTTCAGTCTTTGCCTGCAACTGCAGCTACAGAAGTCAAAAGACATTACCATTACTTTGACATGATGTGACAGAGACATTTTGCAGACAAAGTTTGTCACCAGAACTGGTCATTTACTCTGCTATTCAAAAGGCTGATCCTTTAATTCAGAATTAAATCAGCTCCATTGAAACCACAGATGTGTAACTCAAACACAGGCTTGCATAGCTTGCAAAGCTGTAATGCACGTCAGGCTAAAAAGACATGGGCTGAACGCTATCTGAAAAAAAACATACCAGAAGCTTCCAAGTACCGAGGGTGTGACCAGGTCTGGCTGAATGATTATTGAGATAGACCTTTTTTGACAGTGTTTGTGGGGAAGAGGCTATCAACACCACTGAGTCTCTGGTCAAAACTTACATATTTTGAAGAGGTTTGGACAACTACTCGAGTTGTTCAGGAGTTTGTCGCTTTGGAGCTTTAACCACTCTCCTAAATCTGCAATTTCCGTGAACTTGCTAGAGAGGCACATGTCTATTGTGTCTACAGCAACTTTGCAGCTTCTCTGCAATCATCAAACCACTCAAGAAAGTTCAGTCTAAAGCGGGTCCTTACAAGGCCCAGGAACAAGAAACAGCTTCTATCTGCAGCTGACAGAAGAATTTCTTACCACTTATAGTTTTAATCACGTTAGTCACCATCACATTTCTCAATTAGCTGGTTTACACACATTCCTGTCATACTACAGGTCCTTTCTAACCAATTCCTAAAGCCTTTGAGAGTCACCATAATGACTCATGTTTTACAGGAAAATCCTCTCCACCTGTGCCTTTTTTAGGAAGGACCTCACATGACAGCCTAACAATGCTTCAAACCTAATTTTACCAACTGCAAGCTTCCCCTCCCAGAATAATTACGCTCATGAGGACTCTGGTCCATCAGAGCAGTAATGAAATCAGTCAGCAGACAACCAAGAGTTTGGAGTATGCATTTGTCAACAGGAACCCTTTTCCCTCACCCTAAATCAAAGCAATGCTGCTCCTTCCAACCTTTCCAGCATGCCATGTGTCGGGGAGCTCTCTGCTTTGTATCATCCCTCCTTGCATTCCCATGGAGAGAGAGGCAGGACAGGGCTGTGTGCACTCATGCAGGGAAAAAACCAGAAGATTCTTACTGCCATCCTCTCTTGTTAGAGCCCAGATTTAAGTAGCGTAAATTTGGATGTGGGAGTTTCTTTTTTCCTTCTTCTCTTGGCAAACCAGGAATAAGCAACAGCAGCAGCTCTGGTGAGGTACTTACTCTTCACACAGATCCTCAATTAGTCCTTTTGTTGTTCTCGAGATCTAACCTATAATAAACATCTCTACGTGTCCATAGTCCAACAGAACAGAGACTTATAAAAAATACTGTCTATATAATGATATAAAACTAGCAACAAAGCTGTGCTTGACTTTTGGAGCAAGCCCTGGCCCATGTTCTGTTAGAGGACCTCTGTCTCCAAAAGGAGGAGATCAAGTCCACAGCACTAAAAGCAGCTCTAGGTGACCATTTTGGTTTGCTACTGAGGTGAGGACTGCAGTTTCCTTCAGTCTTTCTTTGCCTCTTCTCTGCAGCTGAGCCACGCTGGAGCCAACCATACTGCATATGGGGTTTGAGTGGTGGATCACACTTCAGCACAGGGTGATTTCATGAAAACACTGAAGTTATTGCTGCTGCTAAGGCAAACATCCCAGTGAGTAAGAGGTGACGGAGCAGTCACGCACCCCAGCTAAGCACGCTCACATCGTAGTAACGAGGCCCAGGAATGTTTGCGAGAACTCGTGTTGTCCCATCAGGTCTCGAGGACTGCAGAGAAACCCAAAATGCCTATTTTCCCTTAGCTACTTTGTTTCATCCTAATGGGATGCGACTCCTGTTGGTGCTCTCATATAACCCAAAGAAACTTTCCTATTGGAAACTTCCTAGTTTAAGTTGGTTTCTAAGGCCAAGTTTGAAAGGCAGCTAAAATCCACCTTCTACAAGTACAAGAGCTTACAGTACCCTATTTAGCCCATTTCAAGGTGTGCTGCAAGGGA